AATGTAATAAATTCAGAACTCATCGATTATTACTGTGTTTAAGATATTGTGATCCACGTTGTATGTGAACTATCATATTGAATATAATAGGACTGGGTTGTGATTTTCGGTTCAGCTTTTATTAGGTTCTTTACGTTCTTAGTTTTTTTAGTTCTAGAAACATAGAAACTGTTTGTTTATCTATATAAATTTATTTGTGCCCGGTTCAATTTTTCGAACCAAAAAATTCGACCCGAAATTCAAACCGAAATAAAAATACCCGGAAATCCGACCCGTAATCCGACCCGAATTATTTTTAAAAACGAATATTCTTAAATATTGTTAGTGACTAAAATTAATTATATTTACGATTTTAAATAAATAGCAAATCTTTGTAACAATAAATACCAGATCTTATTAAATATTGATATCTATGTTTCCAAACTTACTTATTTTAAATACTGCTATCCATGTTTCCAAACAAAAGGTTAAAGTACTTCTACTTTAATTAGATAGATATATCATTCTCAAATTTTATCAGGCCGAGGAAAAATCTAATCAAGATGCCTTTGACACCTACAACTCAAACGCTTTTAACCCCTCCTAAGTACTAAATTTCTCTACTAGCACAACATATTTTTGGTTAGCTTCATGCATTTTTGTACGAGCTAATATTGCATATGCCATACTCTTGTTAATTTAGACAATATGGCTCACAAGATAAGGGAAAACAACCTATTACATCAAGGGCGCCTCTTAACCCAAGTCTCTACGATCAGTGGCAAAATCCATACAGAAACACAATGATTCAGCAAGTTAGATTTTTTTTTGGTTCTATTTTTATACAAAAATGACCAATACAACCACTAAAAATAAGGTCTTTTTTTCTAGAAATTCTTTTGATATTCTCAACTTTTGGTGTCTAATACTGCAGAGTGGAGTTATGAGGCAACGTAGTATTTATGACCAACTTGAAAATAAAGGCTCATCGTTTAAAACAAGGGTACGTTCACATATGCACTCTCACATACGTAATTTATCTCCTCAAGCACAAAAAGTTATGAGAAATGTGAATTAATTAAATAAACTAATAGAGTGTGTATATACTTAGTGTGTATAAAGTTATGAGAGTGTGTATATACTTAGTCTATTATAAACGTTTCAGAGGATCATGGTTCCGTGTCAAGAGAAATCTATAGCAAATTCATCAACGGTTTCCTTTTGGCAAGGTGGAAATTTGCGATCATCAAGTGCTGCAGGCAATAACCATATAGAGAGGTTTGATTATTGAAACTGTAAATATACTAATTAATTAGTATTTTGCAATTGCTTAAGGACAAATACGTAATAACAAGATAATAACTCGCGCGCATGCACGGAATAAGCTTTTTATACTAATGCCTATACATTAAATAGTTTTAACATTTTGCAACATTACATTATTTATCGATGGTAAAATGACGAATACAAATGTTGCTATCTTAAATTATCATACGCCTAGACGTTTGGGGTATCATCGGTTTTGGTTTGATTGAGACGTATTTTTAGATTTTGTAAATATGCTCATAATTCTCATTCGAGATTTACTAATTATCATGCTAGATTTGGTTTGATTCCTTCCCAATTCAGTTTGGATTAGATTGTAACCAATATCTGAAATCATCTCAAAACATATTTTTAAGCCTTAAAAGATGACAAAAAGATTCAAAATATTTCATTTATTTATAAATCTAATTTAAAATTAGTTAAACTATCTAAACTAACTAAAAGATATTAAAAACAAATAAAACAAACTACAAAAATCTTTCGAATACCATAAAATATATAAAATGCCTTAACATATATAAAAACATTAACATATTATACATATCATAGTTCGAATTTTGGTCGGTTCAGATTATAACGAAAATCTAAAGTACTGAGATCATAAGTCTTGTTCGGATATTTTTGTATAACGGCTCGGATCTAGATTCGTTTTTTCCGGTTCAGGTTTAGGTATGTACTTCGGCTTAGGGTAAAAGCCTCAGACCTAATGTATAGCTCGTTTTAATTATTTTAAGACTTCATATGCACAAAAAGAAATTAAGCTTTGCGATAAACGACAAAAGAGGATTAGGTATTCTGCTCGATTTGTTTACTATTAACTTTCCATAAGTGATTTAATTTTCTACCTCTATAAAATTGTGCTTTTGTTCTCGTCTCTGTTTCATTGATATGAGATTTATTTTCTTATTTAACTTCTTCTTAAATTCGGTAAATTACGTAAGTGTCAATTTAAACAGATGGACATGTGTAAAAATTAGTTCCACTCCAGATACATATCTAAGAATCAAATTTCTGAAGAAAATCATCGGCAAACTCTATTCACATGTTAATATTCTTTTTTGATCAAACCACATTTCATTCAAACCAAAGTTCAAACTCCATTCAAGGAGGACATACAAGGCAGACTAGCCAGAGGATTTGCCATATAACAAGCACAATACAACATAAAAACAGATAAACTCTCTAGAGATAAGATAAGGGATCGAATAGCGAATAAGATCCAAAGAACATCAAAAGACCAACTCTCTGAAAGGAGGCGACTGAGTTCTTGACAGTCTAACTTGCAGACAAGCTTGGAAATGCTCAATAGAATGACTGCAACTTGTGCGTCAAAAGGAGCTAGACAATCTGCAACAATGGCAGTGAAGTCATAATAAAACCAGTAGGAAAAGTTTTGCACTACTGGAAAATCTTGAGCCTTCAGATACAAGTTCTTAACAGAACCATAGAAACGAGAAGCTACCATCAACACCACCAACGTTGGAACATAAACGGATTTAAACCTGCATACTGCAGAGAAGTATCGCACCCAGGCGACGGAATTGTTACCAGAGACCATGAATACAGAGACATGAGAATCCAAATCAAGCACAACTAAAACCTCATTCTCATTGTGACTCAGACTATTCGTCAAACAACAACACGGAGAGGGAGTGATGAAGCTTACTGGCAACCCACAGATAGAATCAAAAGCAGAGAACAAAGCTTCACAAACCTAACCAAAGAACATCACACTTCTAATACCAAGCACAACTAACAAATAACCACAGATCCGAGAACCATGAGGCCAGTAGTTTGTGGTGCCAAAATCGAACCTGATAAAGTTAGAAGGAGCTGGATAACACCCGGAATAGAACCTGCATACTGCAGAGAAGGAGTCACAGAAAGACTCAGAAGGATACATAGCCAAACCCGATAGATTTACCAAGCACACAAACAACGGAGTCGCTGGAGCTGCAGAGCTGAAGAAGCAACACATGAAAGGAGATAGATCTGGTGGGTGGTCGGGAGGAACATGAGGGTCGGGAGGGTCGGGATGGCCAGAGGGAGAACCCACGGCAAGCATATCAAGGAGAAACACAAGTGGTGGCGGCGGTTCTGGAGGCGGAGGAAGGAGGAGTGGAGCAACGGGACCCGGAGCAAGCAGAGCCATGGAAGAAAGGAAGAGGAGGGAGAAAGAAGAGAGTTAATATTCTAATCTAATATATCAAGCTGTTATAATATTTAAAGTGCAGACTCAAAATATAAATGTGTGTCTAGTATATATTCACCAGTTCGGTCTAAAAATCATCTAATCCTAAAACAACAACAAAAATTACTTGTTTTATTACCCTACTCTTTTAAATTTTAGTTTATTAAGAGTGTACCTATAAAAAAAATATAATACTTTACCATTCTAGTATATATATATAAACCGTGTATAAACTAAAAATTGTTTAATTAACCAGAACACTTATAATAAATAGTTCAAATATCTCACTCTTACTATTATAATAGCTAGATAGGGTATTATGGAGAAAAAAAATATCAATCAAATGATCAAATCTATCATTCTTCGAACAAACTCAAAAGAAGGTGATCGAAATCATGTAATGAAATTGAGTGATATTAATATATATCTATAATTGAGGTAAATGTGGTTTCATAATAAACTGAAATATTACACATAAGCTGAAATCTTACACATAGCTGAAATATTACATAGTGCAATATATATAAAATTCAGGTAAATTTAGTTTCGAACCTTAAAAATCACTAAAATATTGTCGATTTTAATTTGGAGCAGTCTCTTGAGATTGTTGTTGCTGAGTTCTTTTTGTATGATTCTTGCTTGTTCAGATTAGATAAATTGCCGAGTGTTGATATCATCAATGGAGTTTAAATTTGTCAACAATATTTTGTTTTCTTCCTCCATTTCTTTTATAACTAATTTTTGTTTGCTTGATTTTGCATGTGTAACAGAACCGTCTCATTATGTTTCTCCTTAGATGATGCACTTTCTTTCAAGAAATTTAGGATTTGTTCATTTGATAAAATTAAATTATCGACAGAAGTATTACCTTCATCAAGTATTCTATTGAGTTTTGCTTTCTTTGATTCAATAGGACGTTGTGACATATTTGAACCACCATCATCACTGTTTAAATTGATTGTGAATGAAGAAAATCCAGAAGATTGTGATGCTGGAGAACCGACGGTATCACTTTCAATATCCAGAACACCGATATATGGGAACATTACGGAAATAATGGTATTGATTAGTTTTGTATTTTATACAGTATATATTTTGTAATTTG